CCCCAAAACCCCAAAACCCCAAAACCCCAAAACCCCAAAGAGATTTTAAGTTATTGAAATCACTTGTTAAATTTATATATTTTTGTAGTTTTTTAAAACACTTGAACCATTCTTAAGCTTGAGTTTAATCGGTTTCCCCATCTTACTGAACTTTAGCTTCTTGGGCTTCGAATCCTACAGCTTAGTAAAAATGATACCTTTAAGTCTTTCTTTGCTGAAGTAAATTTATCTACTTCTAATTTCTCAATAGAGCTATTTTGTTGATTGTATCTTTGTCAATTCAGGAGAATTCAAATTCTCTGTAATTAATTTTATAGATGTGGAAGAATCCTCTTTTAGGTTGTTTTCTCATAGGGTCTGATATCTCTCGATTTCTAGGGATTAGAAGGAATAATACCGTTAGTAAGATGCTTGTTGAGGCTCTCTGATTCAGTTACATGCTTTTCTAATAGCTCTCACCTGCTCTTCAATATATCACATTCTTCCTGTTTATCTACAAGGTAAAACATCTTTAAAATACCTTTAATGGACTCCTGCATGTCTGGGAAAGTTTGAAAGTTAGACTCAACATATCCAAGAATAGAACTGAGGAACTCATTTGTACAAATTCTTCCTATAGATAAAATAAATCTGGACCAAGGAATCCTTACCTTGGCAATAATCAATTGCCTTCTTTATGGTTTTATAAGACTTATTCTTGAAAGATATTTTCTTAGCTTTCTTTAAAGGAGTAGCTCTCTTGTCTAATTCTTTAATAAAATTGCATTACCAACAGATTTGCTGATAGGCTCCAGTTTTGCTTTATAAGACTCTACCCCTAGAGAGAGTTTATTGGGGACCATGATATGTGAACTCCTTCCAAAATCATCCCGACCAGGATGTATTGGATCAAGATTATGATGTCTGAGATCACTGATGCTAAAGATTTCATGAAACAATACCTTTTTAATTGATGAATAGACCTTGAGAGGTTATGAGTATCTGCTAAACTTTTGGAAGGAAGATCACCATCTAAAATTTTTGTGACTTTCTCCATAATTTTATTTGTAAGACAAAGTTCTGTTTCTGAAGAAGCTTTCAAACCCTTTAAAAGAGCTATCTAGCTCTGATACCATTGTTTTACTGAAGCTATACAGAGTTAGCTTTTATTTTACTGGTTTGATTCAATTTTATGATTGCATTTATAAATAAGAGAGGTTTCCAAAGCAATCATCTGATTCCATAATACTTCTATGTACCTAATAGTTTCATAACAGATACGTAAGGCATCATCTTTAGTCTTAATGCCCATGAAATTACAGATAGTCTGACTATCTTTCGATTCCTTAGTGATCTTATTAAGCTGGGTCTGCAATTTTTCTATTGAGATACTTGAATCTCTTAAAAATTTCTTAATCTCCTCTTCTTTGCTTGATCCTTTCTGTGAATTTTCAGAGTCTTTTCCGTATTCATTAACTAGAGAGATATCCAATGTGAGTTCATTCTCAAACATATTTCTGATGGATAAAATATTTGATTTGAGTAATGTCTAAAAGTTATTTAGAGATTACCCTATTTTCTTTCTCATAAGTCCCAATATTCTCCAAAATACTTATTTTAGTCTCAAAGTTTCCTATAATAAAGTCAATTTAGCAAAGCAGTTAAGTACCTTTAGGCTTATGTTTATGCTCAGGAGTCTGCTGTAGCCTCTGATTCAAGGGTAGAGATTTCCGAGGCATCCCTAGATGATTAGCATTTGCTTGAGAATTAGCCTCTCCATAATCCTTCTGAAAAGAGCCTATATGTTAATTTTAAGAGATACCAAGATCAAGCGTATACATCTGTTGTCTACTTCTTGCAGCAGATGATGTATACTGACTATTTGTATGGAAAGAGGAAGCTTTATCGGCATTATCTACAGTAGTAAATTTATTGCATCTTTCCAAGCTGAATTTCTTATTCCTTTTTCTAATAATGTTCTCTTTAGAGTTTATCTAAAATATTGGGATGAAGATCTCTTAGAAATACAAAATATTCTTTAACTGAACATTTCGAAATAACTTCCAATGAAAAAGGCTGATTAAGTACATACAATGTGTTTAAAATCATGCTTCCTCACAGGGTTGGTTAAGTAAGGCTTTGATTGTGGCTAAATATTATTCGGATCCCCAACCTCTTGCTTTGATTGGGAAACAGATGATTTTGAATGCATATTTATCAATAATATAATTATTTAATGGGGTTTTGGGGTTTTGGGGTTTTGGGGTTTTGGGG